ACACTGTGAGCGCCTTTTGCAAATTTGAGTCCATGGAGGAGAGCTGAGAAATACCGGCCCAGGAATTGCTTCTGGGCTGCAGCCTGAGCTGCATGACGTGATGTCCTGGCCAGAGAACCACATGCTGGGCTCCTGTCTCCCTGGTCTCTTTTGTCACAGTGACTAATGGGCAGGGAGACAGAGCTCCCATTCAAGAGCCCGTCCCTCCAGGAGGATGACGCGGCCCAGCTGATGAGGCGGCGGATGGCATCCAGCCCGTTTCCCCTCCTAAAGCAAGAACAATGTGATGGTTGCGTGTGACTCCCCTGGGGGGACTGCAGCCCACGCGGGAGCAGCACCCAGAGGGGCAGCCCGGAGGCCGGTGGTGCAGCCTGAGTTCTGTGAGGGCCGGGAGGGGCCTGGACGGGATGGAACGAGGAGGTGGCGGCTGCCCCACCCCGGGGGCTTCCGTTCCGGCCTCGTGCTGCCGTCTGCAGGGGACTCCCACAGCTAGAGGATTTCAGACAGCACAAAATGGCCCTCGAATGAAGTGGGGTCTGGCCAGAGTGGGACGACCTTCTGTCAAGGTGAGGACCCCACTGTCAAGATTCCGGGCTTTAGGCCAGATAGTGTGTGGGATTCCTCGCCAGCCCTGGGGACGAGCTGCCCTACACACGGCGGATGTGCCCGATGACTTTCCCAAGCCGGAGCTGCTCGCCCAAGCTGACTGCAGGCGACACCTGTGGCTGGGTGGCCACCGTGCTGCCGTCAGGCTCAACGCTGTCCTGTGCATCCTCCTGTCTACCTTCACCACACACCTGGAAAGTGGGCGATTATCTCCTTTTAAAAAATGAGAAGACTAAAGGCCAAAGACTCGAGCGATTTGCCACGGCCACACACCTAGAAAGCAGCAAAGCTGGGATGGGAACCTGGAGCTTGTAGGTCCTTGCCTACCCGCCTTCATGTTCAAGGCCAAAGTCCCACAGTCCAGGCCATACTTTGCCCCCAAACTGAGAAGCCAGTTGGTCACCCATTCAGCAGGATGAGCCTCCTGTTCCGCATGGCCCTGTGGGCCACCCTGAGAAGGCCCAGCCCCCTCCTTGACCCACGGGAGTGCCCAGGGATGACGTTCTGTCGAGCGAGGCTGGAGGGCTTCTGGAGTTTTCTTTCCCCCTACAGGGCCAGAAGTCCCCTAGGGCTGCAGGACCATCCTGACATCAATACTAGGATATAAACCAAAGCAGCAGCTTGGGATAGAAAGCCATGAGCACCTCTGGTCACCTGTTCACCCTGAAGCCTGCCCTGCACTGCTCGGGCTTTCACTTACCTCCACGCCTGGCCTGTGCCGTGACACAGACGTCCTCGTTTCTGGGTTGTGCTCCCAGCAAGTGTACATATGCTGCACAAACACACAGACAGGAGTCTGGGGACACCAGCCCATTAAACTGCACCCACAACTCCAAATTAAGATTGCCAACAGATTCCCAAAGGCTCATTTCCAACAATCCTTAAGAATAAAATCACAGTAAGAATAAAAGTTCAAACCCAACCGCTTGGGAAGCGCGGCGGCGCTCCCGCCCGAGGGTTCGGATCCCACATGCAGACCGGTTCCCGCTCACTGGCTGAGCGAGGCGCGGGAGCAGCACCGAGGGTTGCAATCCCGTTGCCGGTCCCGGTCCGGTGCGGGGGTAACACTGAGGGTTGCAATCCGTTGCCGGACACGGTAAAAGACAAAAAAAAAAAAAAAAAGTTCAAACCCAAGACAAACCAAACAGAGCTGTCTCTTGAGTGCAAATCCCGCAGACCTTTGCTGGACGGCTGTCACACACACCCACGTCCCCCTCTTATAAGAAGCGCGGTCCCACTTCACCTTCGCCAGCGAGGCTGAGGGGCCGAGGGGCCGAGAGCTGCAGGAGCTGACACCGGGAGACAGGGAAGCAGCCCCACTGTCAAGACAGAACTGAGAATTCATTCAGGAAGGGAGAGGCGGACGTCAGGCCGCTGTCGTGGAAACAGTGGGAAAGAAGACAGAGCATGTCACAGCTGGGACTAGTACAGGCTGTGAATATCCCAAGTCACCCTGGGAGGCGTTGCTTATGGCAGGGGAGTGGCCTCTTCCCCAGCGAGGGCCACGTGGCATGACAAGTCTGCAGACCTCGTTCTTTTCCATCCCATCAAGGGCGCAGGGAGGGTGAGAACGTTCACTGTGCTTTGTTGCCTGGTTCCCAGGAAATAATGGTCCCCAGAGCCTCACAGAGCACAAAGTCCTGCGTGACTCACATCCACCCTGATGGTGGCTGGCTAGCCAGGCATGCTATTTCCCTCTTTCCTCTGAAACCCCCAGTCACAGCGTGGCTCTGGTGCCTCAGACCCTCTGGCTGGCAGGGGGTCTGAACCTGGAGAAAGGTTTAGACACCAACTTACCCAGGTTAGAGCTGAGGTCCATCACTTGCTGGCTGTGTGCTCCGGGTGACTTGATCTTTGCTTTTAGTTTCTCTATCACAGAAGCAGTGATCAATAACAACCTTGAAGAGAAACTGAAGAGTCAATGAGACGGCCTTGGCCAGGCCCCGCCTGCCTTACAGAGGCCCCCGCCTGCCTCTCCGGACAGCTCAGGCCACAGCCCTGTCTTCACTACCTCCAGCAGTCCTCGGGGTCAGCAAGGCTGCCACTTTCCAGAGTAGACGTGCCCAGGTGTTTTTGTTTTGTTTTTTTCCTTTTCTCTCTCTTTTTTTTTTATCAGCCCCTGGGGAGGCTTTAAAAAAATCAACTAGGGAAGGGTTAGGACCACTGGTGCCAGGAGGCAATCCTCTCCCAAGCTGGCCTTCATTTCCAGGGTGTCAGGACCTTTCTCAGCATGGACCCTTCCTCCTCCCTTCAGGCCATGTGTGCGGCCACCACGTCCTCTCCTCCTTCCCCTAAACCAAACAGCATTTTATCCACCACGCTGGCCGCTGGCTGTCCCTACACCGTGTACTTCCCCGCCTCCGTTTCTGCCCACACTGTCCTTTCTGCTCCACTCACCCTCAGACTCCTCTGCTGGCAAAACTCATCTTCGAGGTGGCGGCTGAGGCTCCGTGAAGGCACCGGCTGCGTGTCTGTGCTCCCACCCCACACCTCGTTGGGCCCTTCGTCCGCTAGACTGTAAGCCCCTAGAATGGCCAGCACCGCGGGGAAGGACACAGCGCAGAGGCAGAGCTGCCGGCGCCCGCCCCACGGTCTGCCACCCGCTCTGTGCCTCAGTCGTGACACCGGGAGGCAGCGTCCACCTCCCGGGGCGGCCGCGGAGGGGACATGAGATAGAACACGACAGTGTTCAGATCCGAGCCTGCTAGGTGGTAGACGTGCCACTGGTTATGACGGTTTGTGTCCCTGCTGTCTGGAGCACAGAGGGGTACACATATTGAACTTTGGGTGCTGTGGTGGCAACTCGTGAATGCGACTGTTGGATCCTGGGGAGGAGGTCCGTGTGCGAGGACTGGACAACACAACGTGAACGTCAGACTTATTCACGTCCATTTCAGACACACAGAACAGGGAGAACGGTGCACGGCTGGCTGCAGGCCAGTCTTTGTAGATCTGTATCCTGCCTCCGCCCCTGCCCTCTCCCCAGCATGCTTGCTGGATTATTTAAAGCAAATCATAGATGCGAAGAAAGCAGTGCTTGCTTCATATTCTTAAAGGAGCTTTCAAAAAGGAAAAACAATTGTATTGTCCTTATTATGGCGTGTGGCTTGTGGCCCGGATGAAGATGGCATTATTTCATTTCACAGAGAGGCAGGGGAGGCCGAGGCCGGAGCAGCCCCGGGCTGTGGTCTGCAAGTGCAGGGCTCTTTCCAGGATGCCCGGCAAAGCTCACAGATCCCAGCTTCCTCGGAACCCCGCCTGAGCTTATGGCCTGACTCGTTCTTAGTCCTTCTTGAGCCAGCCTGAGATATTCCACCTCAAAAATCGTCATAGTGGTCTTTTACCAATTCAGGGAAAAAGATCAAGATAACAGGTGGAATTCTCAATTGAAAGTTCTTCTCTCCCATATTTTCCTTAAACCCATGGTCTCTGCGTTTGTCTGCAACCGAGTGCTGGGAGACCACAGGCTGAACAAGTACATAGTACGAAAGATGGATGGCCAGCCCTGCAAGCAGCTGACCGGTGCGATCTGACAGCTTTCTGTGGACACACCTGCTGGGGCAGACTTTATACTGCGCAGCGTAGTACATGTGCTGCTAGAAAAACTGCTCCTGCTTCACGTGATGAAATCACGGGCAAGTTCAGTTTCTCAGCCCCATGAACAGCACCCCACCCCCGGGTGCTCCTCCACGCAGCAGCTCCTCGGACGGCAGACTTTCTGATTCCTTTCTGGGGTAGACACAAAAATGAAGCTAAGCAGAAAACTAATTCTCATAAAAGAACCTCCCCAGAAAAATATCCTACTGAGCATAAGGCCCGAGACAAGTATCAAAGCTGGAAATGACAACCATTGTCCACCACAGGGTCTCACTCCTGGGACTCACGCTTTGTTGGCTGACACAGCCACACATCCCATAGTTAATACATCACAACACACCCTCTGAAGCGCAAACGCCAGGTCTGGACAGGACCCTGTCACGGTGTGACCATGCTCTTCCATGCCAGCGTGAGCAGTTCCACAACCCCTCAGTGGTGGGTGCTTCCTCTAAGCTCCGTAACACAATTAGATCTGAAACGGAGAAAGTGACTCTGACTCGGGGATTGGGGCATAAAGAAAAAGGGAGTTGGAAATTGACTTTGAAAGGCAATCAAGGGGGCTGCAAACCCAGAGTTCAGAGCTCACTCTTCTGAGATTGCCCCGCCAGGCCTGTGGACGAAGCACCAAGCCCCGGCAGGGCTGAGTGTGCTGAGAATTCCTCCTCCCGTCCCCTGGCCCTGGGCATCCCTGGAGTTGACCTCTTGGGAACCGCTGGCCTCTTCCTGCTTTTGTAGCATTTGAGGACATGTCTTGCTTGGATGATCAGCCTGGTTGAGACTCAAAGAAGGACACAGCACAGTTTTTAAATAACTTTATAATTTCCTGATGGATTTAGTTTGTGAATAAAAAAGAAAAAATGAACAAAGTGTTTACAATAATTATCAAGGCAAAGTTGAATATGACACAATTTCTTTGTAATGTCATTATCCTGTCAGTAACAGACTCCAGCAATACACACATACAGTTGAAGGCAGCAGGTGCATTTGCATCACAGACACCACCTTTAGGCTGCTACTGTCACCAAAAGGAACTCAAGCTACAAGGAGTCAGTACCCAGCGCTCCTTAGCTTCTCCACTAAAGTGCAGCACTTCTCTTCTGAAGCATAGGGGAGCGAACCCCAAGTCCCCACCCTGGATGTCCCGATGTGCTCGGCAGGTTCTTGGGCTAGTCCTGCCATGGGGCAGGCAGGCCAGCATGGGTGGTGGTGCCCTCAGGTCGGTCAGCTGCGTAAGAGGATGGCTGCAATACTGGTGTGGTGGGGGAGGGGTCAGCGTGCTGGCTCTGGCTTCAGTACGGTCCACTCCTTTCCTCATCATGGCATCTCTGGGGCCAAGACAGCAAGCTAGGCATGGGAGACCTGGGTCTAAGGAGCTTAACGGGAAAGAATCCAGGGCCTGAAGCAGAAGGAACTGAGATCTGAGTGCAATGCATTCCACCTGGATTGCAGCTCCAGGTTGGCCAGTGCTTGGCCTGTATTGGATGGGTCACTGGATGATATAGCACCAAGTGGGCAGGAAAGAGGTCCTGGGGCCTGCCAGGTATGGGGCTTCAGAGGCAAGCCCAGGTTACCACACAGTATTAGGCACACTGAGCTGGGACCAATGTGGGGGTGAGGGAGGTTCTGGGGTCATAAAGTTTGAAACCTCTACCCAGAGGTCCTGAGGGTGTATAGGAAAATCCTGGCACGATTGAGAGCCTTGAGGCCCCAGGTTCTTATTCCTTTCACTGAGTAGTTGTCTCTTTCACCCAGGCAGTCACCTGCCTGGACCGTGGTCACCATTTCCCCAGCGGCTAGCCCAGCTGCCACCTCGGCCAGCTAGGGAGGGGAGGAGGTGGGCTGCCCCATAGCTTGAACTCCTGCATTAACATGGTATTGGTTTGCATTTTTAAAACACAGCTCTTTAATTTCTCAGTTCTACAACTACTTTTTAATATTTTAATAATCTCAACAATGGACACAATGTAACTGCCCAATTCTCTGAATCACACAGACAATACCAACAAGCACAGAAACAAAAGAGGAGGTGGGATGGGACAGAAATCCACTCCCCAAATCAAGCCCTAAAACCACTTCTCCCCCAAAAGAGTCAGGAGGAGAAATGCCTACAACAGGGTCACAGCACTTGCCAAACACATTGGAAGAAAATCAGGAGACACCTGGTTACAGTTTTGACACTAAAAAGTTTGGAAACAGTTTTTGCTTAAAAAGAACAGGTAAAGACAGCCATTTTGTTCAGAAGGATTTCCCTGTAATACATGTTTTTTCTTGCCTAAATGTTCTTTTAATTTACATGGGGGAGGCTCCAGACCCTTTTAAAAACATTCCTCTGCAGGTTCGGGTCACCTCCCGAGAGCCCCAGGGCTGGCAGTGATGGGTGGGCGGCTGTGGGCACCGCGTCCTCGATCTTGTCCACGGTTCTCACCTCTCGTGGGTGGGGAGGAGGCTGGGGGGGCAGACGTGAAAGCTAGTGACACAGCTGACGCAGGGTCCACTGGGACCTAGGAAATGCCACGGGAGCGTATTCCTTGCCTCGCTCTTTCCTCAAAGCCCCTGAGGGTGGCCCAAAGAGGAGGGTGATTTGGTTCTGGAATCAGCTGGACTCTCTAGCAGCAAATCCAAATGCCAATCCTGTCCATCAGCAGCGGAGGGTCGGGGTCAGCGGTGAACTAAAACTCTGTGAGGACTTCTCCTTCCTCTTCTCACTCTGGGGAGTGAGCGAGCCAATGAGCTCCTCATGGAAAAAGAAACAGACTTTGACGACAGGTGGCAAGTCACATGGCCACCCTCAACACCGCGGGCGGGCCGGCTCGTCTGCTCCAGCAGTGTTTCTAAAGCCCCAGTGTGAGGAAGAGACAGACGCACTTCCGTCTTTAGACTGTAAGGTGCAAGGACAACGGCTAGAGCTGAGATGAATTTGGAGATTCCCGTTGCTATTTCTTAACAGGTTAAAGCCCATTTAAAATCTTCTACATTTCCAATGGTATCCAAGTCCTTACAAATCTCAATTCAGATACTCCATGAGCAACTCAGTAAGTGCCTGGGATGGAGGAACATGAAAAGAGGGGAAACTCCCCCGCTATTTCCTTAGTCGTGAGCCCGGGTTGGATTCCACCCACTCTATTGTCCTCTTTATGATGACCTTGATTTGGGGTTCAGATCTTTAGGTGCTACAGAGCAATGAGACCTGCAAATAGAACGGATGAGTCTGGGGAAGGATGCGGAGAGTTTTCAAGGCTCTCTACCTCCAGGAGCAGTTGAGTGACCTTATGAAACCATGAATGCCAGAAGAGGGTCACAGGACGACAAGTGCCAGTGCAGCGGGAGTTAGGCGTTAGTAAATGTTGGCTCAACAAATGATCTTAACTCAACAAGATACTCTAATGCTAGACACTGTGTTAACTTTGCCCCTGTAATATAAAGGCAGGCCACGTTTACCATTAAACTTTAGCCAAACAGTCCCCAGAGTCACATGAGACACCAGATCATCGCTCAAGAAGGATTAAGGGGATTCCCAGCTATGGTTCACAGAGACCAGACAGAGGATGTCTGTCCTAGAATTTATTTTTCTCAGAAGCACTTGTCACAGAGGGCTCCTGTTGTTTTCCTGGAGGAGAAATGATGGGAAAATCAAAACAAGAAGGAGGAAGGAGATGCCGGAGAGCCACATGCCAGTGGCAAGAGTGGCGGGAGCGGTGCTGGATGCGCGAGGCAGGACGGGCTGGATCCAGGAGGCTGCCGACGCCTGTGCTCCCAGACCAGCGCCAGCCCATGTCACTGGGTCCCAGGCTCTTCTCCTGCTTTCTCTGTTCTGCTGTAGCCCTGTGAAGGCTGTTGTCATACCTCAGTTCTTCACACTATGGTGGATGAAGTGAGATTCTAACACTCCAGCCCTGATACACTGGGAGCTTTGTGCATGGTTTATGGGCCGTACAATAAACAGAACTGAGGGAACTGACCACAGACGACACCCGTGGCTGTCTATCTCCTGCACCTCCCTCTGGCCAGCCTGGCTGTCAGGAAGCATCTCAGTGAGAGGTTTATGAGCAGAGCCCATTTAAACCTTCAATAAGGACTGCTCCGCAGCTTCTCACAGGGAGAGGGAGTATTTTACAGCAGGGAATGAGGGAGCTGGAGAGGCGATCATGTAAGTTAGCGGGACAGTCAAGGGCTGAGGTGGGAAGGACCTGGACCCACGGCTGCGAGGACTTCACGGGCAGCACTAAATTCTTTTGAGTGAGCAACTGGGGAAGGAGAGAGGACAAAGCGCAAGATAAAAACGTCCAGTTCAGTGACTTTTATCTGATGTGTCTGGTGGGTTTCTGGGGGTAGACATGGTCAAAGGGCTAGATGTGGGTTAAGTGGTCTATTTCTTGCTGTCTAGTTGTTTACAACTGCCATTGTCTGTGCTTGGGAAAATGCCCCTCAAAATGCCAATACCTTCAAGTGGACTTGCAACTTTGAGGTCAACTTTCTGATTTGCAACATGGAGCCGGCCAAATTCCACAAAGTGCATGCAGATGTGGTAAGAAATCACCATCCACAAGTGGATTCTCATAGCCTTCTAAACAGCACACTCTTTAAGGGTAACGACAACAAACAGCAAAAATCCTGAATCACCAAGTGGATCCTGTAGGCTAATGTATGACTAAGCCCCCAAACCCATCCATTCTGTTATGACAAGAAGTGCTGATTTGTGAAAGACTTTCCTAGAAAAGATACATTCTATTAAGATGGGGTAAGGGAAGGTACGCTTTTGCTGCTTTGACTCCCCCGGGGATGTCTCAGAATCCTCTGCACCTCTCCCTCACTGCAGAGACTTTCCTAGGATGGGCGCCTTGCACAGTGATTTGTACACAGCAGGCATTTCATAAATATTCTCTGAATGGAAGGATGAAGGAAGGAATGTGCGTGGGATAAGAAGCATGCAGTTGTGCCGCAAGAAGGTTCCAGGCAATGAACAAGGCTGTGGTTCTGAGAGAGCAGGTCAAGAGTAAAGCTGAAAGGGTGAGAGATGGGTTGTAAACGGTATGGCCACTGGGCTGCAGGAGCTCGGGATGTGGTGGCAGGATGGCAGACAGCACTCTGGAGATGCTCAGGAGAAAGCAGTCTGACCCCAAGGCATGGTCATCTTCTGCAGGAGCCAAGCTGCAGGTGGCGAAGACAGGGCTCACATGTCCAACCCTCTTCTCTCAGCTAGAAGTATCTGATCCAACAACTAAGTAGGATAAGATCAAAGGTCCTAAACAAGAGAGACTAGGGGAAGAACTGTTCATCTAGGAGTAGAGCAGGAGAGGGTGAGACAGACAGACAGGGCTGGGGTGAAGACTCACAACCTGGGGGACTGGTACTTGCTAAGCTATCGCGAGGCCTGCTTGTAGTGCCCCTGTATAAAACATGACACATGAAAATAAACAAAAGAGACAGTAAAAAGAAGAGTTAGTTTTCTCTTTGTCCCTGTTCTCTCTTTCCTCTCACCTCTCTTTATCCAATACTCTTTTTGAGATTTTTTTTCCTTTTAGGAGAAAGCACCTATTGTGATATTATTACACTCAGCTCTCTGGTCCACTGTGAGGGATTCTGTCAATATGCTGAACTCCAAGTAGATTCCAGATTTGGTTCTCACGTTGAAGGACAGAAGGTAGGAGGGCTCTCTACACCATGTCCCTCTGTATGGGCAGAGCCACCAGCTTCCACAGTTCTCCTGTTGATGACTGGATGGCAGTCCTTCATAGAGATTTGGCCATTTACCCACCCTGGACATCAAGAAAATTAGTGTAGAGACAACACCCAAAGCAGAAAGACAGAGTAAGATGACAGATGTAGCAGTGGTGCTGGAATCACACCTCTTCAAGTGAGCAAGACAGGATGTACTTTGTAGTGTTTGGTGCCAAGAAGTTTTTGGGTGCCTGTTCCCTACAGTCCCCCTTTCTTGGCTGCTGGGCTGGCCACTCCCCACGAAGCAGGGTCAAGATGACTCCTCTAATGCGTTGACCACTTGCTCCAGGATGTCGGGGCAATGATCAGCTATTTGCTGAAGAATGGCGTTGGCAAACTCCTGCAGTTCTGCGTTGTCCCGTTCACCTTTTTCTAACTCATTCTGAAGCTGAAATGAAAAAGAGAGATGGATTTCAGATAACATAAAGTAAGATAAAATAAAACCCTGTCTGCACTGAGTTAAGAATTTTTGCTCATCAATAAAGAAATGAGAAGAGACACTTTCTGTGTGAGGTCTCCCTGCATCAAAATTAACAGGAAGAGTGCAAAAGCACTGCCCAGGTCTCTTCGTGGGGGTAAGGCCCAGAGCTGGCAAGTGCAGGGTGGGGCTTCAAGCTGTCCCCTCCTTCTAAGTGGAATGCTCTCTCCATGGGCCAGGACCACCCCTACATGCCTGGGGGGAGAGGTTCAGGGTGAGCTCAGATGCGATCTTAACCCTGCACAGTTGGCCTTTCTCTGTACACCCTGTACCACTTTTATTCAGTACATTAGACCAACCTACCTTAGCCTCTGAATTTAGCTAAAGAGATTATTTTGAGAAACATCAGACATATATTTCCAGCTTTCTGTTGTTTTCAACACCATCTTTGACATTCCTTCAAGCACTTTAACCAGCCTTTATTGATTGCCTGCTGTGTGCTAGGTGCTGAAAGGTGAATGGATTTGGTCCTTCTTCTGAAGACACACTGATGTCAATGAAGGAGACAAATATGGCCCAGTGCAGCAAGGGCCATCACTGAGGCATGAGCACGTGCTGTGAGGAGGCAGAAGAGAGACCGTTTCCTCCTGGAGCAGCCCGAATGCTACTAAAGTATATGTGATCTGGGTCTTGAGAGCCGAATAGGAGCCTGTCTGGGAGATCAAATACAGAAGAGGCTTCCAGGTAGATGAAACCAATGCAGACGGGTGGAGCTAGGAGAGGGCTCCACCCAGGTCTCGGCAAGAGTGAGGTGTTCAGCACAGCTGGGGCATGAGGTGAGGGCTGGGGGACGAAGGGCAGGAAATGAAGCTGAAAAGACAGGCTGGGACCAGACTGTGTACGTAAAGCTAGAGAGCTCAGGTTTAATCTGGTTAAAAAACCAAAACCAAAAATAAAACCATAAAAAAAGAAAGTCCAAGAGTTTTTAAACAATATAGTGACACAAACCTTCACTTTCTTTGAAGGTAAGAAAAACACATTAGATGGAGCAGAAGGAAGAATCCATCAAGGGAGGTCATTGTTACAAGTCCAGCACGGAGTTGAGGAGGGTTTGAACTCAGGTAGGGTCAGGGGACATGGAGGAGAACACATGGACCTCAGACTTTCCAAAGGTAGGACTGCTAGGAGTTGGAGGGCTGGCTGTTTAGCTCAGTTTGTTGGAGAACGGTGTTGGTAACACCAAAGTCAAGGGTTCAGATCCCTGTATTGTCCAGCTGCCCAAAATAAAATGAAATGAAATGTAAGCAGGAGATGGAGTTAAGAGAGGGTGAATGGAGAATAATTTTTGACAATTCTAGTTGGAGAAGTTGGACAATAAGACAAAAATATAGTAGGCAGAGCAGACTTTAGGAAAGAAAGGAGGGAAATTAAAAATTGAGTACAGAGTTCCAGTCAGGATGGCTGAATAGACGGTTCCCAGCGTCATTTTCTCCCACAAATCAGCAAATTTACAACTACAAAAATGCAACATCAGCCAAGCTAGGGCCACTGGAGCTGAGAGGACGAGGAGGAGAGACCTACGGAGCTCATGAAGGTGGGAGAAACCACGATGAGAGAAAGAAAAAGCTGCTCTGAGCATTTCGGGCCGCGGCTGCTTTACGGCTCGAGCTGCTGAGCACATGGAGCAGGAGCCGGCAGAAGCCGCAGCTGTGCCCTTCAGATGGAGTTGCTTGGAGGCAGCAGGGGAGAAGAGGGCCTTGGCGGCCCCCAGGACAGCAAGACCACTAGCAGGGTTCCCATGGACCCACGCAGGAGTGAGGAGCCAGAACAACTGAAAAAAGGGAGCCACTGAGAGGCCGGTGAGTCATCGCAAGGGACAAGCGCAGGGCCTGTCCCATGGGAAGTGTTTGCAGCATGGGCGGTGGGGGAGTTGTGCCCACTGGGAGAACACTGGGACACAGCAAGGACAGCTGATCTGCCCCCCAATCAGCACAGGACTGCTCAGAGGAGACTGGTCGGGAATGCAGAATTTCATGGGGTGCAGTTTGATGAAAAAACTCAGGCCCAGATCAGAGATTTACACAACACAGATCCACCGGGTCTCTGGAGAGCCAGAAGTATCTATAAGGTCAACCATTAAACCCTGAGCTGCACAAAAAGCCTTCCCTAGGGAAAGAGCAGCAAAGTAGCAATTTAACTCAACAACACAGCTCAAGTACTGGTTCCCACAGGAAGTTCCCCCATTTTGGAAGTAAACAAAGGACAAAAAGTTAGCTCCGGCCCAAGCACATCACCAGCACCTTTGGGCCTACCTGGGAACCAGAGGCTTGAAGCCAAGGACCGGACCCCACTTCCACATTCACACACACCACACCAGTGCCGTGGTGCCCACCCAGGGACCCGAGGCATGGAGAAGGGGACCAGCCACCCCATTCCCACATTCAGGCACACCCCCACCTTGGGGCCCTGCCTGGGGACCCGGGGCATGGAATCGCGGACCAGACCCCCCTCCCACAATCAGGTACACCATGCCAGTGCTTCAGGGCCCACCCAGAGACCCAAGGCATGGAGAAGGGGACCAGACCCCCCTCCCACAACCAAGCACACCGCACCAGCACCTCAGGGCCCGCCTGGGGACCAGAGGCATGGAGAAGGGGACCAGACATACCTCACAACCAGGCACACTGCCAGAGCCAAGGAGCATGTCATAAACATCACTTCCATGTGGGTGGCCCACCACAGTAACCACAATAACCATGGCTGCTGCAAAAGTGGCTAGATGCCAAAACCACCACGCAGATGGTCTGCCAACCACTGGAGTGCACTGACACAAGGAGAGTCACCAGCAGAGATAAAGAAGAGGATGTCTCTCTCCACAAAGCCCATTTCAGAGTGACAGAAGAAGCGTCTGCTCTATGGTAATATTGGGGGACCTGATCACATCTCTCAGCATTGGACAGATCATCTAGGCAACAAATTAACAGAATAACCATTATTCTTTCAGAAAGAGAGGAAATCTAGGGTAATTAGAGGGGGAGGGGGGAGGGAGTGGGGGATGGGGAGAGATTGGACAAGGTGCATAAAGAATAATTATGATTTGTAACAACATATATGCTAGTAATATTGATTTGATCAACATAGCTCAATGTTGAACCCCAAAAATATGTATAATCAATTTTGATTCAATAAATAAAATTAATTAAAAAAACTGAGTACAAAGTAGAGTTAAGAACATATGCTTTGAAGATAGGCAGCATGGGTTTCAATGTCATCTCTGCCAATTATTGGTTTTTATGACCTTGCCCTCTCTGAGCCTCAGTTTCCTCATCTATAAAATGGGGCAATAATAACACTTATAGGGTTGCTTTAAGATTTAATGAGATAGTCATATAAAGTGCGGTGTAATGCCTGACACACAGAAAATGCTTGATAAGTTAGATGTTATAACTATTCTTTACTGTTGTTGTTAAATAGATAAGATCATCCAGAAAGAGCACACAGATTAAAAAGCAAAGAGAACCAAGTTTTAATTCCACAACTGTTAGATCCTAGATGTTCTGAGCCAAGAATTAGCCTGGTGCTTCTTCAAATATTACCAAAGAGTTGGGAATAGGCCTAGCAATCTTCTTTCTGCTAAATGCTGACTAAAAGACCAGAATATTCAAGGGCCAGATTTAGACCACACTAAGTTCTGGTGCATGTCAAGGTCTGGCTGTGTCACATGCATACAAGTCTCTTGAATGGGGAAAGCCAGGAGGCCAGGTGCCTTGTAAATAAATACAGTGGCACAGAAAACAATCCAAAAATGCTGTTAGGTGAAAAGGCTACAACTCGCAAGTCTCTCCAACGGAAGCGAAGTCAGCCTTGCCGAGGGAGGTGTGGGGTTGTGATGCTTCAGTTTCCAGTCTCAATCCTTCCCACGAATATTCCGGACAACTCTGGTTAATATTCTGAGCCAGGTATCTATACTCCACTCTCTACAAGTTACCTATTTATTTCCCATGAAATATTTTGTATTCTAATTTGGCTTCTGTTATGTTAAGCAGATAACCATGAAGTTACATACATTTTAGTTTAATATTTTTTCAGGTTTTCCCCTTTCTTTAAACAGTTCTATACATGTATTGTAGAAAATTTGGGAAAGAAAGCAAAGCACCAAGAAAAAGAAAATCACCTGTAACATTACCATCACCTAGAGATAACCACTGCTATATATTTATTTTATCATATATTGTTTGAGACTTTATTTTAATATATATATATATATATATACGTAAATTTTAGAAACAAAATAGCAGTGATATTATATAGATTATCTGTAAATTGATTTTGTTTTTCACCTAAAAGTATACTATAAATACATTTCCAAGCCAAATCCCAAAGAATCTTTTTGGAATTTGGTAATTGATTCTAAATTATCTTCAAGTGTAAATATATAAGAGCCTAGAAAATATTTTAAAGGAAGAATGATGTGAGAACTGCTCTGTCAGGTAATAAAACATACTATAAAAGTACGCTAATTAGAAGAGTATCGTACTGATAACCTCAGGTCAGTGGGATTTAAAATATGATCAGGAAGTACTTGAAATCAATGAATTGTATCCAATGAATCAACTGGGCCCATTTGTGGTTGGATTCCTGCTCATATCATACACAAACACAAATTTCGAACTAGTTAGAGATCTAAATTTAACAACTATACTGTAGAAGTACCAGAGGTAAGTTTAGGGGCATATTTTTATGATCTTGAGTAGGGAAAACACATAGTGCTTTTTATTTTACTTTTGGGGAGAGGGTAAATGCATTTAAATTCATAAGTCATAAAGAAATAAAAAGGGCAAATGTGACTACAGAAATTTAAAATGTCTGTATGGAGGTAGAAGAGATATAAATTAAATTAAAATACAAGTGGTGACTTGGAAAACATTTATAGTAAATAAGACCAAAAACAAAAAGACGAAGATTCGATA